AGGTTTATATGATTGCCTTCCTTTGGCTTTAATGTAAAAAATATCATTCATTCATTCATTCATTCATTCATTCATTCATTCATTCATTTGCGCAAAGTTTAGTACAAGGATTTATGTATTTTCCAGGTACATAAATCAATTCTAAACCACAATCAAGTAACTATGTTACCTTCTGTTGCTATAAAAATGCTGTAAATATCAAAAATAAATTTGATTTTGTATCACAGTCTATCTAAACCCCTTGAAGTTGATCTCGGTTTCTTTAAGAACCTCCTACCATTTCAAACACTCCCACTTTAGCACGTCTTCACAGCAATGCTTCAGGGGAGGGGTGCTTTGAGGGGCGGGGGCTCGGCTGCAGACTGAGCTCCTGGGAGGAGCTTTGTGTAAATAGGCGGTGCTTTGTATCAGCAAGCGTTCAGGCATCTACGAAAGGCTTTTTCAAACATGCATGAATGAATCAAAGCAACACTCTGGGTTTGTTTTTGATGAGGGAACAACATTAGAACACGATCTCAAAAAAGTTGATTTTGTATAACACCCCCTTTAACATGAACAATTTAATGAAGTAAAGAAGCTCATTTTAAAATTGCATTAAGTGGGTTTTGAAGTGACAACATTTTGCTGAATTTGTGAAATGTGACCACAAAGGCCAGTGCAGAACAAAGGTCACATGAAGCTCTAGTTATGGTTAAAAAGACGCATGAGAGACTCGTCAGAAAGAGTGAAGCAATGATTAACCCAGTGAATAAATGCTTGCCCAGAAACAGAAGGGAGTGGTAAACAGTCATGCACATGAGTGCGTGTGTGTTTACTGAAGTTAACTCAACATCTTGGAGTCTGAGCTCGAGTCACAATTCTGGTAGATCATTTATTTAACTAAACGATAAATATACAAAACAGCAAAAACAAAGTACTTACCAACAGTGAGAGCATCAAACAGTCTATGAATGGTTCCTTGGTCTTTTACAATCCCAGACTCCTGGACACATTTCACAAACTCCTCTAAATGCATGTATGTTTTCGGCAGCTGGAAGCGCTTTATGGCACCTTCTTCAAGCTTGCTGCTCTTGACTGCACGCTCACGCTCCTGCTCTCTCTTAACTCGACTGATGAGGCTTTTGATCTCTGCTCGTTTGTCCGCCTGTGGGAAGATTTAGATGTTCATGTTGGTTAAACAGCAAACATTCGTTCATCTCTTTAACGAATCCCTGGAAATTAAACCGCAACTCAGGATTCTGAACTGACCTGTAAACGTTCAACACTAGGCAGGGAGTCGACCAAAGACTTGACCATCTGAGAAGGGAAGATCTCTGCGTCGGTCTTGTAAAGACTCTGGAAATCCTCCAAGGCGTCAAGACGCTTGTTGGACACAGTGTTCACCAAACCACGCAGGTAATGGTATCTGATAAGATGGAAAAGTTAAGATACGGTAGTTCCTTTAGCTCTGATGAATGTAATTTTTAAATACAGCGGTCAAAAGAATGTATTCAGAATAGCTGAACCGTAAACAAAAAAGATAACATCAACATATGATTTAAGCAAAAAATAAAAATCTACAATGACTCATGAGAATTAACCTGTTTTCTAGGAAACAATAAAGCAGCAGAACATCTGACAGAAAACCATAAATTAGAGCAAGAAATATATTTTTATGATGCCATTTAAAACCTGCAGCAGAAAAGAGAACACTGCAATAAAAGGTATTTTACTTTTATATTACTACTTTATCTTGTGTTTGGTGTTAAGATCAGCACAATTTTATTATTTATGTCATTAAAACATAAAAAACAGATAAAAAAAGGATAAAACCTATGTCTGTACATTAAGTGCAGTGTCTGAGTACCTGGCCAACAGAGCAGACTCATTAGGTGATGTAGCATCAATAGCCTTCTTCAGCGAAGAAACCATATCATTGTAATAATTCTGGACATACTGATAGGCCAGAGGCGGGGGGAAGTCTGGGAGACGRAAAACCTTCACAGGTTTCTGCGGGAACTTCAACCCTGCAGAGACGTAAACCGAGTTAGAAATGATATTTATGCTTCAAGTCCTGTTTTCTCTCAACCGCTGCTGACCAATATCAGGAGTCATTTTTCGAACGGAGTGCGATCTGTTGGAGCCGACGACCGGCAGCGTCACAGCTTCACTGATGGGCTGATCGAGGTTGGGCAGACTGGCTCCCAGTCGCTTGCTCAGTCTGCTGTCGGGGCTGGTGTACCGGCTGTAGCCGCTYCGGGACAGCTCGGACATCGGAGGCCGGCGGGGAGACTCGGTCGGCGCGCGACTCCTGTAAGGAAACGAGAGTGACGTGCGGTGAGTGCATCGTCTCAAAGAATTGCAAACCTTGCAAATTCTGGAGGAAAAAAACAAAGTAAAAAGTGCATTAGGAAATTTAACAAGCCAAAAAGCTGCGAACAAACTGAGCTTATAATTTAAAACTACTCAATAAACCTAAATTATTTAAATATTTACTTATCCTCGTGATAAATATCTACAAGTATTGTTGTTAATTTCTTCATTTATTATGGATTTATGAAGGTAAAAATTTTAAAGCATTGCTGGAAGCTATAAAACTAAAAATATTATTTTTTCACTATGAAAGAACAAACAACAGGTAGAAGTTTGATGAGCTCTGCTGAGATGTTGAAGC